CTTGTGGACGCGCGTTCACGACAGTACCATGACGCGAGCGTGTGGCGGCGCTGACCCCGATCCGGCGTAATCACTGGTACTGTCGTGAACGCGCGTCCACAAGTAATGCAGTAGAGACGAAAATGTGGAATATTTTTTGTTTTTTTTGCGCAAAAAAATATTCTTGTAGCTTCGTAACTTTACAGTTGAACCGCTGATGTCTCACGCACTACTTTGTCGATCATCTTGGTACTTTTCTGGACCTTGAACGTGGTAGTTACCTTGCTGTCTATGGGAGGGTCAGAGAGCCCTCAGATTTCATCAGAAATATCTTAAATTGTATTTCGAAGATGAACGAAGGTCTTACGGGTTTGGAACAACACGAGCGTGAGTAATTAATGACAGAATTTTCATTTTTGGGTGAACTAACCCTTTAAGTCTAGCCTGAAAATTTGAAAGAGTTGTAAAAGCTTGACAAGTTTTAAACAGTTTAGATAGATAGACAGATAGCATGATTTAGCATATTGCTAGGATGCTTTAACATGTTGGTAGCACGTTGGTAGAATGGTTTTAACATGATTAACATGTTGCTACCATGTTTCTACATGATGTTAACATATTACTAGCATGCTTCTGGTTTAGCACTATTAGCATGTTTTTAACATGATTAGCATGTTGCTAACATGATTTGCATGTTTCTAGCACGAATAGCATGTCGTTAGCATGTTACTAACATGTATCTAACATAATTAGCATGTTGTTAACATGTTTCTAGCATGATTAGCATGTTACTAGCATGTTTCTGGCATGATTAGCATGCCGTTAACATTTTGTTAACATGTTTCTAACATGATAAGCATGTTGCTAGCATTTTACTAGCATGTTTCTAGCATGATCGGCTTGTTGTTAACATGTTTCTAACATGATTAGCTTGTTACTACATTTTACTAGCATGATTGGCATGTTGTTAGCATGATTTAGCCCACTGCTAGCATATTTTAGCATGATTTAATACATTGCTAGCATGTTTTAGCACAATATAAGAAATATTAGGTTGAATGGGTCTAAATGAGTCTAAATGGATTAGAAATAGTACATAGAATGGCAGTTTGATTGAGTCTCAATGGATTCTGGGAGTTTAAATTTGAATTTTGACAGTTGGAGTTTGAATAGTCTTGGCTCATTTGAACATTCCGCCGATGTAAGTAGATGGAATTTTTATGATTTTTCATTTTCAGGAAAATTTTTTAAGTCTGATCAGTCTGAAAAGAGCAAGCAACCCGAGTCAGAATAATCTGTAGATCTGGGCTGAGTTTGGTGGTTGTAGTTTGAAAACTCTAGGAGGAGCAGCTTTTAGAAATTTAGTCTAAGAAGAAGAATAAACTTATATTGCAGACCAGTAGTTTGTCTTTCTCAAACCAACCTAATAAGACGCTCATATCACATATCACACGCAATAACTGAAAAACACAATATGAATGCATCAGTCAGTCACCTCTGGAGCAAACATGGTTTCGTATGTAGGGTTGTAAGTGACTTCTTTGAGTGCTGGATCAAGATGAACACCGGTCTCAACATCTTCCTGACAAACAGAACACACGATTTTACTTATCAATAAGTGAACAGAACACCAAAATTAACAACATTTTACTCGACTGTTTCTCCTACAGAGCTAATACACAAACATATCAGCGTTTTTCAAAATACAGTTCACTTAAAAACCACTTTAACGTCATTAAAATCTACTGTACTGAAGCATTCTGAGGTGTGTTTGACGCAAGCGGCGCGTTTCTTGTTTACCTTCACGGCGACTTCGGGCGCGGAATTCAGAACGGCTAACGCCGTTATAGTGCCGGGTTTTAACGGCTGAAGATGAGCTACCGCGTCTGGATCGACCTTCTGCGGACTGGTAACGTTACCGAATTCGGACTCGTTTTCCGAATCTGAGCCGCTGCCGTAAGAAACGAGGGAACTCGCCGCCATCTTGGATGTTGTGGGTCTTTCGTCAGCGGGTCCTGAGAGATGAATGCTGTTCGTAAATTAATTCGTACTCTTAAAATGGATATTATAACACGTATTTATAATTTAAAGCGATATAAATTAAGGACATTGCTTTTATATGTCTGAAATTGAATGTCAAGGGAGCGCAGTTAGTGTAGTGAAGTAATTAGAAGTTTTTATCTTTCAGGACGCGTCCTGAGAGGAAACCGCTCACAAGAGCGCGCATTGCGACGTTTACGTGAAGTCTATTCTGCGCGTATCCCACGTTTTATTTGATCACTAGAGTTATATAGTTAAAGGTCCCATATTTTACACCTTTCTGGAGTTTTATTTTAGGTTTTGATGTCCTTAAGAATATATATATTTGCGTTATAAGTACCAAAAACAATCTCAATATATTTTTACAGCTCCTTTCTCAGGAGCTCTGCTGAGAACAGGTCGATTTTGGCCTGTCTAATTAATATTCATGAGCCTCTCTTCTGATTGGCCTGTTGTTTTCTGAGTGACGCACGGCCAGGCCAACCGCAGGTAACTAGGGTCAGCTGATGTCACAGCCAATAGGTGCGTTCGACTTCATGCGGCGCCGTGCAAACCGATCGGCGGCTGACTTGAAGGAGAGTGGGACGGTGGGCGGTGCTCGGGGTGGTGACTGAAGGCGGTGACTGTGTAGTTCTGACGTCAACTTTTTACGGAAGTCACAACGGTTCGTGAAAAATCACAGCTACTTTATGCAGGCTGTGTGCATTTTACTGTGGACTGACTGTTTTGAAACTTATATGGTAGTTACATAGCACCTAGACCTCAGTTATCATGAAAAAAGCCAGGAAATTTCAGTTTTGACAATATGGGACCTTTAACTAAAACTGTAAAAAAACATTTTTGTTACTTGAAATAGAATTAAAAAAAAATACTTTTTCAGATTTTTTACCTTACCTTGATGTACTAAAATAACTAAAACTTCAATGAAAACTAAAAAAATGTGCACAGGAAATTTAAATAACTTATCAAAATTACAAAACAAAATCACTAAAACTTTAACACAAAATTAAAATAAAAAATATTAATAACACTTTAATAGTAACTCAGTGATATATATATATATTTATTTTTTTTGTAATGTTTTTTTAAAGACGTTTCTTCTGCTCATCAAAGCTGCATTTATTTGATCAAAAATACAGGAACAAAAACAAAGACTTTTGTAACAATATACACTACCATTCAAAAGTTTGGGGTCAGTAATTTTATTTTTTTTTGTGGAAAAATTTATGTTTTTATTCAGCAAGGATGTGTTAAATTGATAAAAAAAGTGATAATAAAGACTTACATCCTTAGAAAAGATTTCCATTTGAAATAAACGCTGTTCTTTTTAACTTTTTATTCATCGAAGAATTCTGAAAAAGTATCACATGTTCCCAAAAAAATATGAAGCAGCAACAGTTTCCAGCTCTGATAATAAACCAGCATATCAGAATGATTTCTGAAGATCATGTGACACTGAAGGCTGGAGTAATGATGCTGAAAATACAGCTGCGCATCACAGAAATAAATTACAGTTTAACAGATATTCACATAGAAAAGAGATATTTTAAATTGTAATAATATTTTACAATATTACTGTTTTTCTGTATTTCTGATCAAATAAATTCAGCCTTTATAAGCATAAGATATTTCTTTAAAACACATCTACTGATCCCAAACTTTTGAACAGCAGTGTGTATATATAAAAGTATATATGAGATGCGTTTTATGAGAGGTAGATGTGTAAAACCAAACTACATTTGCCATCATCGGCAGCACAGGAATTATAAAATAATAAGTAAGCATCGATAATTTCACTCCTAAAGTGCACTAACAAGCAAACAATATACATTCTGTATTCTCCATAAAAAGTAAAAGTATTATGCCATTATGTATTCTGTCAGGTGTGGGCGTGGTTTGACCAAAACAACTGGCATACGACACCGGCACTAAATAAGTTGTTTGTATTTGCGATTACTCTGATTGGACGAATGGGTGTGGTCTGTGCGCGGTATCAGCCAATCAGCTGAGGGATCCCGCTGTGGGCGGGGCGGCGGTTTGTTGCGGCGAGTTCAGTTGTGTGTGGCTCCAACAATGGAAAGCGGGCCGTACCATCTGCAGCCGGAGGGGTGGCGCCACACGCACCGACATCCAGAATATCGCTTCTTCCCACAAATGGAGCACATGCTTGGTTTATAAGGGTTTATTCTGTGATTACTGGTATTACCGGCTGCTGTGCCGGGAAATTAGGCGGATCGTTACTGACGCACATCTGCTGTATTTTCACCGTGGATCCCTTTTCCAGCATTGACGGTCCTCGAGTCCCCAGCTCCCGGGATTCACACTCGCTGTGTATATCAGTACTGTATTTATGCAATGACCACCGCGCGACTGAACCGACAGGAATATTTTAAGGAATAACCTCGGGAAAACATGGAATAATACGAATACATAACATTTATTCAGGTATGATGTTTTATGCATGCTTGCTTTAAGGTATGCACTGTTCTTTACTGCATTTTACCATTTGCTGTTCAAATTCTTTGAAAAACGCATAATGCAAATATGCATGGGAAAAAGTGTTCATATATGCATATTCCATTTTTCGCATTTATCTTCTTTGGCTGATGCATTTACGATGTAAACCAACACTGCGTGGCCCCATTCAGGAGTGGATGACAGGTGTGGGTTGAATTATGCATGCATGTGAAATAACTTGCATAATGCAGACTAAAGCATCCCGAATGCATGCTACACGATGTGAGCATTACATATTACACGCGACTGCTGTTTGTTTTCATTGAAGGCATTAAAAAATATCACTTATTTGTGATCACTTGGTTTCGTGCTGCTCTGAGATTGATGCATTCAAGGGGGAAGGGGTGTCACATCTGTATGGCAAACACAAGGCAAACTATCGCACCAAAATGCGATGCAGTTTGCATGCTTGCTAAACTGTGTGCACTCCAGAGTACTGCTGGGATGGCATGCCAAATATTTAGCAGTAGGATAAAAAAATACTTGAGTTGTTACAAGTAAATATAATATAGTGCATACTCAATGCATAACGCAAATGCATCCCGTATTGGTGCGAATGAAGTGTACATTTGAGTGCAGTTTTGTGCATGCAGGGGGAAGGGCAGCAGACACTGGAAGACTCGCTTTGTGAAACCCGAGACTTCAGAAAGCACAACGCATCATCGCTTCTCTGTTCAACAACGCGTTCATTAAATGCATTTAAAATAACAGCACATTTCAAACGGAGGCATGCTTTTCTCGTGCTTTAACGCATGAACATCTTACACAGTTGTTTTTTCCCCCCGAATGAGGTGCTATGTGTGGTATACGAGGAGGAATGATTCGTTTTAATGAATCGGTTAGTTCACCGACGCCGCTCAAAGATCCGAATCGCGTAACGTGTTTAGCACCAACTATTTTTTTTTGTCAAATATGGCACGTTTTCGTTTAAGTTTTCGGTTTTACTGCCAAATTAAGTTATGTCTTTGCCTATTCTCGGGTGATTTACAAACGGTCCGAATCTTTCAAAAGAACCGACTCGAAAGACTCGGTTCGATCGGGCATCACTAGCGTGCGTTGTGTGTCATCATCGCGACCACATGCAGCGTTCACTTCAAACTTTATTGGCTCGTATTGCCAAAGCATTAATAAAAACCTTATATAATGCTCTAAAGCAGCGTTTATCTGTTGGGAAATCCAGATTAGGCTGGTATATGTGTTTTGGTAACTGGTTGACCATCTTGATCACCTTAATCTTGTGTTATATAAATGCATGATTCAAAGTTTTCTGTAAATGCCATTTACATAGTGTCTGATTCAGCCGTACACATGTACAGTGTTCACACATATAGGTGCATAAATGCACTTTTAAAGAGTTAATTTGCTGAATATCAGACACTGCAGTTTCACTGGTTGTGCATTAACGATCCAGATGTGAAGCGGATATAAATGCATGATTCAAAGTTTTCTGTAAATGCCATTTACATAGTGTCTGATTCAGCCGTACACATGTACAGTGTTCACACATATAGGTGCATAAATGAACGTTTAAAGGGTTAATCTGCTGAATATCAGACACTGCAGTTTCACTGGTTGTGCATTAATGATCCAGATGTGAAGCGGGTCAGTCTGATGTTGTTGTCGACTTCAGTTCTTTGTCTTGAGCTTTTGCTGGCGAAGCAGAAAAGTTTGTTTTTCTTTTCTGGATGGATTTTTGTTCAGAAAACCCTTTCACGTGGCTTCTGTTTGATTTGCTGCCAGGACGGACCGGCTGAAAAGAAGAACGTGTGTGTTTGACTGTGTTGATATGTATAGTTATATTCATTATATATAATTATTTAAACAATTTATTTTTAAAATGTATTCTAATAATATGTATTTTATTTATATTTAAGCAATAAACAACTATATATGCAATAATATTAAACATGTATTAAATATAATATTAAATATTAAACACATTTAAAAAATAAAATAAAATATGACATAATAAATAAAATTATCAAATTATTTACAAATAATAGATATTATATTAAATTACATTTTAAAGTGGCATTTAAATATAAAAAATATATGTATGTAAATGTTGTTTATCACCCATATATAAATAAAAATGTAAATAATTAAAAATACAAATTTTCAAAATAATTACATGTAATGAAAAAAAAAATTATATTAAATATTACACTGGGAAAAATGGTGTAGGATTTACTTTTAGCTGAAATTTTGAAGCAGAAAGACTGAAAAGGAAATTTATTGTAAAATGTACTTCAGTAACTTGTGTACAAAATAAACCATTAAAATTGATTTGGGGGAAAATGTAAAAAAAATTTAATAAACAACAATATACCATATATACATATATGCAATAATATTAAATATGTATATAATTATCTAGAAAGTTAATCGTTTTTAGTATTTCAATATATATCGACAATTAATAATATTATATTTAAGCAATAAACAACAATACATGTACAATGCTGGGTAGTAACTGGTTACATGTAATGTGGATTACGTAATTAGATTGCAAAAATACTTGTAATTAGATTATATTAC